TGTTGAGCTGTGTGATTGGTTGTGAGTCTTTCTGTTGACCTTTGTGATTGGTTGTGAGTCTTTGTGTTGAGCTGTGTGACTGGTTGTGAGTCTTACTGTTGACCTTTGTGATTGGTTGTGAGTCTTTGTGTTGAGCTGTGTGACTGGTTGTGAGTCTTACTGTTGACCTTTGTGATTGGTTGTGAGTCTTTGTGTTGAGCTGTGTGACTGGTTGTGAGTCTTACTGTTGACCTTTGTGACTGGTTGTGAGTCTTACTGCTGACCTTTGTGATTGGTTGTGAGTCTTTGTGTTGAGCTGTGTGATTGGTTGTGAGTCTTACTGCTGACCTTTGTGATTGGTTGTGAGTCTTTGTGTTGAGCTGTGTGATTGGTTGTGAGTCTTTGTGTTGAGCTCTGTGATTGGTTGTGAGTCTTTGTGTTGAGCTGTGTGATTGGTTGTGAGTCTTACTGTTGTACTTGGTCAGACCCCAGCCGGAGGTCACACAGGTCATGCCTCCAGGGAAGTTATCCGTGGTCTCGGCCACGCACACAGGAGAAACACGCATGTTCAGCTCGGCGGGGCTGGCCAGCTTGATGAGYAGGATGTCGTTGTTGATGGTGTAGCCGTTGTACTGGGGGTGCTTGAACACCTGACAGGAAGTGACATCATCAGGACCAGCGTGGTCACAGGATGACGACGGCTGACCTGGACACTTACCTTGCCGACCGCCATGGTCTGGATGGGCTCGGCGTTGGAGGAGCGGTCGTGTTCTCCGAGGATCACGCGGTGGGAGATCCTGCCGAGCAAACAGATCGAGCTCAGTGTTCTGTCTGACCCCGCCCCTCCCCTGACTGTTACCTGTGTGAGGTGTTTACTTGACATCGCAGTGAGCGGCCGTYACAACCCAGTTCTCGTTGATGAGAGAGCCTCCACAGAAGTGGAAGCCGGTGTAGTCCTGAAACATCCACACAGGAAATACTTTGAGACAACTTGAGGATGTCTTTGGTCAAACAGGGACACTGTCTCATTCACTAATATATAAACTGCACCGGTTTTTAGTTTGTTCTAATGACGAATTTTATGTCTTTGTAATAAATTTATAAATATAAATTTCCCAGATTGAAAGAAGAAAAGCTTTATAGCTCACAGGGAAAATAACAAAAACATAAAACTTTTTGTTCACAATCATGTTTTTTGTTATTACTGCTCAAAAAAGGAACAAAATATTTTATTAAAATGACCCATAGATATTTATTCTTTATATTTGTTTGAACCAATGTACTAAAGCTGCCCTTTCCCCTCCACAGACCACTTCAGGATGGGTCACATATCTGTGACATATTTTCTGCCATATTTTGTGATAAACGTGACATAATTTCTGCCATATTTAGTGTTAAATGAAGCTGAAAGTATCTCAAACATTTGTGACATATTTTCTGCCATATTTAGTGATAAATGTGACATAATTTCTGCCATGTTTTGTGTTAAATGAAGCTAAAAATATCTCAAATATTTGTGACATATATTTTCTGCCATATTTAGTGTTAAATGTGACATACATTCTGCCATATTTAGTGTTAAATGAAGCTGAAAATATCTCAAATATTTGTGACATATTTTCTGCCATATTTAGTGATAAATATGACATACTTTCTGCCATATTTTGTGTTAAATGAAGCTAAAAATATCTCAAATATTTGTGACATACATTTTCTGCCATATTTAGTGATAAATGTGACATACTTTCTGCCATATTTAGTGTTAAATGAAGCTGAAAATTTCTGAAATATTTGTGACATATATTTTCTGCCATATTTGGTGATAAATGTGACATACTTTCTGCCATATTTAGTGTTAAATGAAGCTAAAAATATCTCAAATATTTGTGACGTATATTTTCTGCCATATTTAGTGATAAATGTGACATACTTTCTGCCATATTTAGTGATAAATGTGACATACTTTCTGCCATATTTTGTGTTAAATGAAGCTAAAAATATCTCAAATATTTGTGACGTATATTATCTGCCATATTTAGTGATAAATATGACATACTTTCTGCCATATTTAGTGATAAATGTGACATACTTTCTGCCATATTTAGTGTTAAATGAAGCTGAAAATATCTCAAACTTTTGTGACATACTTTCTGCCATATTTAGTGTTAAATGAAGCTAAAATATCTCAGATATTTGTGACATATATTTTCTGCCATATTTAGTGATAAATGTGA